GTGGTTATATGATCTTATGATTGAGAAAAGGCTGTTTGGGTTTGATAAGGCAGAAGCTGTTAAGTACTTTCAAGAGAGTAATTTTATTATGGTGTTGGGGAAGAAGCTAGATCGAAGGAGTTTAGGAAATGAATGAGAAGGGAAAGAGAGATAGTGGGTAGCCCTCCTGTTTTAGGAATTTGACAGAACAATGAATGGTAACAAGGGGATATCAGAGCAAAAGAACCCTGGATTTGGAATCAAAGGACCTGAGTTTGAATCTTGGTTTTATAATTTGCTACCTGTGAGACCTTTCTGGTTTTTACTTTCCTTATTTGTAAAATTAGAGAGGTGAGCTATAAGATCTCTAAGGTCTCTTCTGGGTTTATATCTATGATCTTATAATCTTATGTTTTAAGGACAAAGGGATAGGGTCTGTGGATAGGGAGCTACTAATAATATTAGGGAATGAGAGGGGAGGTCTCATAGGAGATGAGATGGAATGACATTTATTCATACACTATCAATAAGATAATGTATTAAAAACTCTTTGGAAATCTTAACATGCCATACATGTTACAGCTATCATTATTATTGTCAATATCCAGTGTATAGTAGGCAAAGTGAGTAGGTTTAGCAAGGAGGCTCATATCTAGGGGATATAGATAGAGGGACAATGATATAATTTGGTAAAGATGTGCCTGAGTCTTATGAGTTGCTAGTTCCGGACAAACTCTATTCCAAGGTATTGAAAGAATTAGTGAATGAGATTACTGAGCCATTGCCAGAAATCTTTGAAAGCTCATGGAGAATTGAGGAAGAATTGTAGGTCTGGAGACAAGAAAACAAGTGATACCCTATCTCAGGAAAAGACTTGAGTCTATAAGCTCTGGGACAATGAGTTCAATTTGTTTCCTTGAAATTTCTAGAAGGTACTATTATTTTTTGGGGGGTGAGGCAATTTGGGTTAAGTGACTTGCCCAGGGTCACACAGCTAGTAAGTGTCAAGTGTCTGAGGTCAAATTTGAACTCAGGTCCTTCTGACTCCAAGGCCAGAGCTTTACCCACTGCGCCATCTAGCTGCCCCTAGAAGGTACTATTAAAGGGATGGTTTCACAACATTTAGAAAGGGAAGCAATGATCACTAAAGATCATCATACTTTCATCAAGTACACATTATGCCAGACTGAACTCTTTTCTTTTGTAGGATCACTAAACTGGTAAATCAAAGAAATATTGTATACACAATTTATACATTTCAGCAAAGCATACAACATATTTCTTTTGTGCTATTCTTTTGGACAAGATGGAGGAATGTGGTTAAATATTAGTACAGTTAAGATTTGGTTGAATGACTGGACCAGGGAGTAGTTATTAATAGGTCAATGTAAACGTGGGGTAATGCCCCTAAAGATCTATATTTAGTCCTATGCTTTTCAATATTTTTATCAGTGATTCATATGAAAGTATAGAGCTATGTGTGTTTTGTAAATGGAACAAAGCTGAGATAGTTAACACATGGTATGAGTCAGGATTAAGAAAAATTCTTCAGAGACTAGTACAATGGGCAGAATTAAACAAGATGAATTTAACAGGACAGTTAGGTGGCACAGTAGATAGAGTGCCAGGCTTGGAGTCAGGAAGATGAGTCTTCCTGAGTTCAAATCTGGCCTCAGATACTTACTAGCTGTGTGATCTTGGGCAAGTCACTTAACCATGTTTGCCTCAGTTTCCTTATCTGTAAAATGAGCTAGAGAAGGAAATGGCAAACCACTCCAGTATCTTTGCCAAGAAAAACCCTAATGGGGTCATGAAGAATCAGATATAACTGAAAATGACTGAACAACAACAACAAAATAGAAATAAATGTAGAATTCTACACATAAGTTCAAAAAAAATCAACTTTACAAGTACCTACATCTAGGAAACAGTTAAAGTAAAAAATATCTGAGGAGTTTAGTGGGACTGTGGGAGATTATTGCAAGCTCAAAATAAGTTAACAGTGTGGCATGTCAGATTTCAAAATAAAACAAACAAGCTTTATGTGATTTTTTTTTGGTGAGGCAATCAGGTTTAAGTGACTTGCCCAAGGTCACACAGCTAAGTAAGTGTCAAGTGTCTGAGATTAGATTTCAGCTCAGGTCCTCCTGACTCCAAGGTCAGAGCTCTTTCCACTATGCCACCTAGCTGCCCCTGCCTTATGTGATTTTAAGGTATATTGAGGCTGTTGGAATTTAAAACAAAACAAAATAAAAACTGAAAAAAATATAAGTGATTTTAGGCTATAGTAAGAGAGTCCTAGAACCCAGGACCAGGTCAGTGACAGTCCCACTAGTCAGATAATGTCTGAGGTATTGTGCTCATTTTGTGTCAACACATTTAAGGAAGGGTATTTACTAGCCAGAAGGCCTACCAAGATGGTGAAGGGTCTTGACATCAGGTCAGATTGAAGAAATTGAAGATATATACTCTGGATAAGAGAATATTTAAAGGGTGGAACTTGACATTTCTTTTCAAGAATTTAAAGCTTGTTTAGCTCTGCTTAGTTCTAGACGGGGAGAACTAGGGTCAGTGGAGAGAAGTTGCAGAGAGGCAGATTTAGGCTTGTACATAAAGAAAACTGTAGCCATGATAGTTACCTCAAATAGAAATTAACTGAACGGTCAGGGAGAGGAATCCCTTCACCAGTGACTTTAAGTGGAAGCTGGATGGTCACTTGTTGGTGATTTTTTGGAGGAGATTCTTGTATAACTGGAACTGGACCAAATGACCTCTGAGGTTCCTTCTAACTTTGTGATTTTTTTGGTTCTGTAAACATGAAAGAACTCAAGCTGAATGTGTGAAATAGAAGTCATAGACAGCCAGAGAGAAGGGTGAACAGAAGTGAAGGTTAAAAGATTTAAGCAACCTGTATAACTAGAAGGATTAGTGGTGTGCCCTCAACAGAAATAGAGGTTAGGAAGAAGAGGGACAGTTTGTTTTTTTGGGGAAGGAAGAAATACATTCTCTTTTGGACATGTCATTTCTAGTTGGAGATGTCTAATAGGAAGTTGGTGATATGAGTGTAGAAGTCAGGAGAGGCTGATATATAGATGTTGGTGGTTTCTACCTAGAGGTAAAGTTAAGGAGATTACTAAGAGTGTATACAGAGAGAAGACAGGTACTGCTGTATGTAAGTGATGGTCAAGGTTGATGATCCTTCATTGGACACTGAAAAGGAGAAGCTTTTTACAGGTAGTAGAAAATCAGGAGTGAGCAATGTCATGAAAACACAAGGAAAGAAGGTTTTCTAGAAGGAAGGTTAGTCAAAAGTGTCAAATGGAACAGAAGGTAAAGAAGGAAAAAGACTGAAAAAAACCCATCAGATCTGACAGTCAGTAGTTTGTTAATAATCTTGTAGAGAGCACTGGTGGTTTAATGATGAGGTTAGAAGACAGATTGCTGCAAGGTTGAGAAATGAAGTCAAGGTGAGAAAAAAGAGGCAAGGAATATATAGGTAGCTCCCTCCCCCAGTTTGGCTGTGAAAGGGAGGAGAAATAGAACAGTAGCTTGAGGAGGTGATGCAATCAAATGAAGGTTTTTAAGGATGGGGAAGATCTAGGAATGTTTGTAAATAGTAAGGAAGGAAGCAGGGGACAAAGAGAGACTGAAAATTAAGGGTGGGGGATGGAGTGATATGTCATACAGCTTTGGGTACGGTAGAACCTTATAACATTTCTTACAATTATATAGATTTGGATACACCAAGTATTAAATCATGTCCTTTCCAAATATATTAATTTATATTACAAACCTGATGTAACCTGGTTGGCCTGTAATATTACAAGTATAGGTCTTCATGCCACCACCTGAACTAGCATTGTAAAGGGCATGATGGTACTTTTTATGAGAATATTTGCTCTTAACACCCTGTCTTTAGTTGCTTAATTCCTATTATTCCTTTTAAATGCTCTATTTTGCCATCCTTCTTAAAAAGATACAAAATCCATTACATTGAATATAGTGAAAAAATAATTGGATTTGAAGATAGAAAGCCTAAGTTCAAATCCTGGCTCTGCCATTTACTGTCTTTGTGACCGAGAGCATATCATTTCACCTCTAGGCTTCGAGTTTCTCATTTGCAAAATGAGAGGGTTGAAATAGGTGATCACTAAGGCTCCTTCAAGTTCTAAATCCTATGATAGCATTTACTCGATTCAATTCAACAAATACTTATGAAATTCCTATGATGTGCCAGATGTCTCTTCATTTACTATCTCATTAAATTAAGGACTCGGGGAAAGGACATTTTCAGAGAATGAAGCAACTCCCTAGAAACATTTTAAAAACAATATCCAATAGTAGTTAATCTTAAATCCAGCCAACTATCCTGGGTCAAGCAATTTAATTAACAAGGACTCTCTCCAGTGCTTTCTTATCCCCTTCAAAAACATAGGATCAATTTACATTATTTATGATGAATGGTGGGAAAGGTATTTATTCTTTAATATGTCCACCCCAAGTACTTGTCAAGGACAGTGGTACTAACTTTTTAAGTGACCAATAAAGACTTGTTGACTGACTGAGGTCCATGTTTTGCATTGCTTTCTGACAGTTGGATACTCTGCCATGGCATGAGGCTCTGAACTGAGTGCGATAATAATGATTTGAGCATAGTAACATCTGTTGTGAAAAATTCACTTTTATCTTCATTTTTTTCATTTACTACAAATTAAACCAGGGTTTCCTTGTCCCATTATGAAGGTACAGTCTAGCCATGGGTACAAGTAATTAGTCTTAAAATGGAAAAAAAAAATCACCTAAGGTAAAATGAACACCTAATAGAAAGGTTACTCAAAGTTAAAAACCAGTGGAACTCAATTAACCAGAACTCTCAGCTTTGTGTAGTCTTATTTAGGCCCTCTACTTCTGGAGGAAAGGGCTGATCATAGCAACATATCCCTAAGTCAGTAATTTATTCAGAAAACCAGCTCTTAGGTATTTCTTGGAGCTAATATACATTCAAGCTTATCTCCTAAAACCATCTTTGTCTGTAACTATAGTTTTATGAACTGAGAACTGATGTTCAGAATGATGGGCAAAGAAAAGTAAGAAAGTGGTCTAATAATACATTTTGGAGTCATTGATACCAATTAGAATGGATTTGAGATATATTTTTGTTTAAATTCAATTTATTAGAACTCATTCCCTGAGCATTCTGATTGAAACTTTAGTATATGAGACTTTTAATTAAACATTTTTTTTCAAATAGTGCACAGACTTTAAAATAGTTTCTCTCTCCTCCCTTCTGTTCTAGAACATGGAGAAGATTTTTAAATAAGCAAAGACTTTTATACCTCAAGTCATATTTTATCAAAACTTGTCAACAAATGGTTCATCTAGGAATCTATAGGAGAATGTGGTTAGAAAAAAAATGGGCCTTTAATTAATCTATCCCTTTAAAAAAAACTATTTACCAAGTTAATAATAACATGACTTGACCTAATGTAAAAATTTTTGGAAGCTTTTGTCAGTGGATTCAAAATATGAATTGGAGAAATAACTATTTTCTTATGAAACCCATGGCTTTTGTTTCCTTCTTAATTGTATTGTATTGTATTGTAATTTCTTTTTTTATTCCCACCTACCATTATATTATTTCTGTAGCTCAGAAGGAGGAAACAGGAACGAGGCAAGTGAAACAGTTCTATGGTGAGACAGCAGAAACATTACATTCTGCTTTCCCCCTCCTTTCTAGTTCCAGAAAGTAACCATATGATTCTTGAGTTTTTGGAAAGACATTGGATAGAACATTTGGGTTTTCAAAGAAGCTGAGAACATAGTAGGTGTGACTGCTGTGTCTCCAAAGTGTGCCTATCGCTATATTATATATTATCTGTCTCGTTACTATGGTTTCTGTAGTTTTCAGTTGATTCTACATATCTTGGGATGTTGCTAGTATCATGGGAGTCTGGTGCATGCGTAGACCCCATCAGCTTGCTCAGAGGGTGTCTTTTTGTATAGAAGATACTGGGGAGATGGCTTCAAAGAGAATCGTGATGTCATGTAAAGGAAGTGCCTTGCAGGCACTTGTGGAGGGTGCATGGACATTCTATAACTGGTTTGCATTGACTAACCATGTCATAGGGAGGAACCTTATTATTATTATTGTATCATTAGCAATAATAATATCGTTTACATAGTGCTTTAAGGTTTGCAAAGCACTATCCATATGTTATCTTGTTTGATCCGCACAACAACCCTGTGAGGTAGGTGCTATTATTATCCCTATTTTACATGGGAGGAAACAAACTGAGAGGTTATCTGACTTGCCCTAAGGTCACACAGATAGGAAATGTCTGAGGTGGGATTTGAGGCCAGGTCTTCCTAGCTCCAAGTCCAAGGATATTATTCACCTAACTGCCTTTCTGAAGACTGGCTGTACAGTCAGTAGGAAAAGGCACCACTAACTACATGATTGGCCAACCAGAACAAGTTTCAGAATGTCCATGCATGCTTCACATGTCACAAAGGTACTTCTTTTATACATCATCAGGATTTTTCTAGAAGCTATCCCTCCCAGTGTCCGCCATGTAGAAAGAAGCCATCTGAACAAACTGATGGTGTTGGCACATGTGCCAGAACCCCATTACACTAAACTAAAAATCTTACTTGAACTTGGATAGGTTGGATAGGTTGAACTAAAAGGCCTTACCAAAACCAGACAAAATAATCATCCTGATTCCTTAACTCTCTGCAAACTCCAACGTTGTGGCACTCTGGAGGTATAGAGAGAAGAGAACCCTCCCTGCTCTTCCTAAGCATCCAGTGGGGCCAATTCACCCATACCTGTGTGAACTTTTGGAGGGTTTAAGTTACATGGTGTCATGGTGCCAATATAATGGCAATCCTTTGGCAAGCGCTGAATGACCACAAACATGAGCCTTATTTTAAGGCAACTGATATATACAATAACAACATTATTAATGGCAAACTTGTCTCTCATGTATAAGAGTGTGCACCTCCTACCATCATATCCTTTGGGGGATATATCCCTGGTTTGCACCTTGGGGGCTATGGCTCTCTTGCCATAAGTATGATTGTCGTAAGTGTTATATTCAAACGACGTCTTGGAATATTTCTCTAGTTCCTTGGCCAAGTTGGAGCGAGGTGTGGTTGTGGGGACGTTATTTCTGTAGCCATATTGAGGGATCTCTAGTTGCTTTACGAAGCACATCGGCCTGAAACATAAAAGATATGGAAAGTTCATGTTATTGTGCATGTGTTTTGGTTACAGTTTGGATGAAAAGCAGACAATCTTAATAAACTTAATTTTAAAGATCACAAACTATCTCAGTATTTAGTTTTGCTTTATGATAAAAACACTGCATATTTTCCCAAGCCATGACTAAATATTAATTACACAGTGCCAAATAGATTCCCTATCTAAAAGCAACTATGTCTGAGTTCAGAAGTTCAGTTCAATTCAGTTGTTTTTCAGTCATGTCCTACTCTCTGTGACCCCATTTGGGGTTTTCTTGGCAAAGATACTGGAATGGTTTGCCATTTCCTTCTCCAGCTCATTTTACAGATGAGAAAACTGAAGCAAACTGGGTTAAGTGACTTGCCCTATGTCACACAGCTAGTAAGTGTCTGAGGCCAGATTTGAACTCAGGAAATGGTGTCTTCCTAACTCCAAGCCCAGCACTATATCCACTGCACCACCTAGCTGCTCCAGTTCAAAAGTAGCGCCCATTAAATATATTTACAATTCATCCATTGTTTCTTTAATTGCTGTCTTTTGTAGAAGTTGGGTAGGAGTGAAGAAGATATGAAAAACAAACTTGATGGGGAGAGTTCCATATTAATCAATTTACTTTGGCAGGAATCAGAAATAGATCTAGAAGTTCTGTGAATCTCAAGTACACTAATAAATATTTTTCTCTTAGAAGATAATAAAAGGAAATTAAATAAATACTCTTATGAATGTATTCTTAGTGAAAATCATCTAGATGGAAACAGAGTGGATATATAGGTGTAGATATGGTAATATGCAGTAAGAAATATTAACATATTTCTTTCAATATTTTCCTTAATTTGCCTGGCCTTTGAAAGTACTTGAGTGCCATCCATTTATATTCACAACTTTCCCCTCTTCCCCCCAAACTTTTTATCACAGGATTTTGGAGCCCAATAAGACATTTTGCTCCACTTTTTCTCAAGGTAAAGTATTTATGGATATTTTCATGTACATAGCATTTTTTTATACTATCTTTCTAAAAAAAATCCAGAGTTTCCAGGGAGGAAAAATATTTTTAATTGTTTTTCTTGCTTTTTAAAGTATGTAATTACTATTAAGTCAGCCTGGCATAGTAAATAGAAGGTGACTTTTGAAGTAAGGAAGACTGATTCATGCCTACTTCTGAAATATACTGGCTGACATTGTGACCAAAGGCAAATCACTTAACCTCTAAGTGTCCTACACAACTTTCAAAGACTATAAGTTATAGACAAGTAATGTCTATAAATGTCTATAAAAATGCCTTTTTATTGCTCCTTATACACACCACTTCACTTCCTATCTTCTTGTTTTTGCACTGGTTCTCCTTTATGCCTGGAACACACTCCTTCCTCACCCCCAACTCCTGAAAGCCTTAGCTTTCTTCAAGACTCAGCTCCAGTGTTACCTTTTGCAGGAGGCCTTTCCCCATCCTTATAGTGGCTGGAACCCTTCCCCTTCAATCACTTTGTATCTAATTTGAACATATGTGTAGATGCAAATTTCCCTAGATAGAATACCAGTTCCTTTAGGGCAGGGACTATTTAACTGTAGCTTGTATCCCAAGTGGTTGGCACATAGTAGCCAAGTATAGTAGATGCTTAATAAATACTTAAATGACTGATTGATGAGTAGAGGGAATTTCCACAGTAGGAGGTTCTCTCACTGATGAAATTATAAGTCTGGAGAAGGAAAATTTAAGTCTAAAGCTATGGTAAGTTTTAGCTCAAGCATTCTTAGAGTCCATGAACTTAAAACAAAAATGTATGTGTGTGTGTGTGTGTGTGTGTGTGTGTGTGTGTGTGTGTGTGTGTGTGTGGGAGAGAGAGAGAGAGAGAGAGAGAGAGAGAGAGAGAGAGAGAGAGAG